TTGTTACAGTTTAATTTTGTAATATGATAGGTCTTCTTTTTTTTTTTTTTCCATCTCTCTTAGGCTGTATTTGGATTTAGGATTTGAAGGGAATTTGTTGATTGAAAGGAAAAGGGAATATTAAAAAGTTAATCATTTTTATTTGATGACCCTTATTTTTTTTGCTTTTAGTGAATTGTTTTTAATTTGGTTTTTTATTAAACTGCTATTTTAAAATGTTTAGGCTTCTCTCTCTTTAAAAAGAGTTCGGTTTATTTTGCTGTTTCAATTTTATTTATGGAATTTTTCAAACAAAAAAAAGACTTTTTAGATGTTTATCAAGACTTTTGAAAAAACTTAAACTTATTTTAAAAATTTGTTTTACTAACTTTTTAATGATTTTTATGAGAGTATTACTCCTTGGAGTAAATAAGCTACTGTGTAGTATACTTTTTTGAAAAAGGCATTTGCAATTATACAGATCATACAAAAGGTATTTGTAATTTTTCAGTTACAGTGTGGTGAGCCCTTTTATAAATTTTTATTGTAGTTTTTTACTTATTTTTTTTTCACATTTTAAAATACAAATTTAGTAATTAAATTTCTATAATTAAGTTTTGCTAAAATTTTATTCATTAGTATAATTTATATTTTTTTTATAATTTATTTAGTTGTTAGTAGAAAAAATGGGCAATACAATCCATAAGAATTAACCTTTGTCAATGCAAAGTTGCTATATAGAATCAACCACAAAATCATGTATTGCTATAGTTCTACATTTTGGTCAATAGAGAAAAATTATGAAGATTTCTATGAGAGTATTTAATTTTTCTTCTATCCTTTTTCTCCATCTGTGATATTCATGCACAAACGAACTTCTTAAACTAGGTTGTTAACTAAAATATGTTAGGAGGCTGTTAATTTTGTAGCGATTAATTTTTCTTTACGGCAATTATTAAACCTCATTTTGCCTTAATACAGTTATCTTTGTCAAATTTACATAACCAGGCACTTTCACGTTAAGACACCATTGACCTTCAACCGCTAATTATGGACAACATTACTATTTTTGGTCACGTAAGTTGTTTTCTTTTTTATTTATTTGAAAAAAAAGAACATTTTTCTTATAAGCAAAAGTCAATTTTCTTTTCTTTTCATAATTTTTTTTTATCTAATTCCTTATAACGAAATTCTCTTTTCTTATAATTTACAGATGGATGGAGACCTACGTCGAACTGTAATACTGATTCCTTTTACTCATTTTCTTACATGTATAATTTTTTTTTTTTTACCTCTAATTCTTTTGTATTTTTAGGTCCAATTTCTTCAAGAAAGAAATGTTAATGTTGTTATCCGTGATGAGCGTGACCTTAATGTCATCCGTGTTCGAGAGGTAGACCCAATTTAATTATATAGATTTTTTTTTCATTCAAAACACTGTATATACCGTATATTCTTATTTATAGATTTTTTAAAAACTTTCTACATATATAGATTTTTTCTTTATTCTTTATTTTTTATTTTTTTTTTAATTTTTTATTTTTGTAGGCAAAAGAAAAGGAAATTGCCAAGGCATTGTTGAAGAAAAACGAAAAGACCACCGTTTCGGGCAAGGGAAAGGAAAATGCATGTTCAGTAGTATGGCTCTTCAACATTCCCATTTAAAGTTCTTTTTTTGAAATATTTATTTTGGACCATGAACCTTGATTATTTATTTATTTATTTGTAAATGTAAAATTGACATACTACTTGCATAGTGACATATACTGTTCTTATAGTAAACAGTTTCATATAAATTTGTGAAATGTTTTTTTTGAAGCATACTAAAATAGGATTTGTACAAAAAACAATATATTTGTTTTAAATTATTATTATTCTTTTTTGGCTTTTTGCTATTGACAAGAGAATAAAAAAGGAATATAACAAAAAAGGAATGAGGGGAGGAGGGATACAGAATGAAAAAGTTTTCAATTTTTTTACAAAATATCAGAAGGAAAGGGAATTAAGATAAAGTAAATTAATAGAAATGAAAAATGAAGAGAAAAGTATAAAACAGTAGATGATAAAATTTAGGCATCTTATGAAATTAATCTTCATGTTTTAGGCACATAACAATAATGTTATATCGAAAGCTGCATTGGCTTAACGTGCACGGCGAGAACGCGAAATAAATGATAAGGCAAGTTCTTCATATCAATTGGGACAACGTTCACGACGTGAACGAGAAAGATCGAGAGAATTGATTCCACCAAGCACAACTAATACTCCACTGGCTCAGAAAGGAGTAATGTTTACACATCTACTTTCGCCAAGCACATCTTTAGCTTCACAAAGGAATTAGTAAAACATTGTATTTAATTATACAAATACATATTCTTATTGTTAAGATTTTATTTAACAAATTTTATTTTCTACACAACAAATATTTGTAAGTCTACTCATGCAAACTCATTGCTCCACGATACTAGGAACATCAGTGTTATTATTCGTGATGAGTGCAATCTTAATATTATCCGCAATTCTAAGGTAAGTATAACTATCAAGTTCAAAATGTTCTTTTTTCGTAATCTTAATAAATTCTATAAATACATGTTCTTTTTCGTATTCTGAATAAATTTTATTTATTTTTGGTAGGCAAAGGAAAAGGAAAAGGCCAAGACAATGTCTAAAGGAAAAGAAAAGGCAACTTCTTTTGACAAATGGAAGGAAAACGCATGTCCAATGGTATATATTCAATATCTTTAAAAAAATATTTATCGAGTAAAACAAAACCAATCATATTGTTTAAGTGACCATTGATCATTTAAACTGTGTTGTCAATTTTTTTGTGTGCTTGTACACTCAAACAAAGTATTTTTAGCTCTCTTTAACATTTCCTAAAAAATAATTGTAACCTTTATCAACTCCAAGAAAAACTTTGTCAAAAGGTACAATCTATTTATTGATAAATTTGTTATTTTAAAAATATTTTACTATATGTGTCGACTTTTGTAGGTTTGGGTTAAAAAATATATGGAGCTCAAAAATATAAATATAACTAGATTGCTTCGATGGAGATGTAACAAGGTAATTTGAAAGTGTTTTGATATATAACTTTTGTATTTGCTAATATACTAACTTTTTTATTTTCATAAATTAATAGATTGTCGTGCATGTTCCTCACTGGGGATACATACAAGTTGATACGAGGACTTTTTGGAAAGTGATGAGGCGCTCCTAGGATTTCTAAGAAAGAACAAGTTTGAATCTCATATTTACTTTTGTGAATAGCGTACATATATGCTAGCTACGATCCATATTTTGTAAAGTTTCTGATCGATGTGAAATTTATTACTTACAATAGTTTTGTAAAGCCTTTTTTCTATGTGAAATTTATAACAATTTGTTTAGATGTATGTTAGATAATTTTCATTTGAATTATTGATTTATGCTATGAGTTTGTTTTTGTAAATGTAACACACTAGGTGATATATGTTTTTGTAAATGTTAGATATTTTTTCTTCCTAATATGCTCTTGAATTAGGTTAAACAAAACTAATCATATTTTTATTTGGTTATCTTTTTATTAGGAAGGGTGTTGCATTTTCTTTGTATTACAGAACATTGGCTGGTGTGCTTAATTTGTTATTGACATTTTTTTTTGTATTGCAGAGCACTGGCTGGGGTACTTAATTTGTTATTTGACATTTTTTTTTTTGTATTGCATAGCATTGGCTAGTGTGCTTAATTTGTTTATTTTTTTCTATTGCATAGCATTGGCTGGCGTATTTCGTCTGATTTTTATATAGATGTTTTTGTGTTGTGGGATTTACATTTTGTTGTTTGTTTAAAATCTTATGCTTTTATTGTGCTTGAATTTTACGTAATTATGTGTTTACTTTTCACTATTTCGTTTACCTATAAATTTGGAAAATTTATGTTCAAATTGATTTATTCACCAAGCAGCATACAATTTATTTATTTTTCATTTATTTAATTTTCTACACAATAAACTGACCACCAAACCATAAAAATTGATAAATTTTAACCATTACATTAAAATTGATGCAAAACTATAGCTTTAAGATTTCTCTTCTTTACTTCAACCAAACTCACTATCTAAAAAAATGTGGATATAGAAATTTATTTGGGTACTGTTATTGGCTAGGATAATAAAATGCTTATTTTCTATTACAAATTGCAAGTGGGTTACATAAACAAAAATACTACAATACACTAAACTCTTTTGAAAAATCTAATTATAAAATTTATTTGAAAATTTAAAACCATATGGATCATCTATTTATATTTTCACCTCAAATTTTTTTGAAAAACAAATTAAATAAATTACATTTTAACCCAATAATTTTATATTCAATTAATGGTCACCGAGCCTTCAGGCACGGGTATACCCTAGTATATATATAAGATATGTATGTGTTTATATATATATATTCTCTCTTTCTCTCTCTATATATAAATGAATGAGAGAGATATTATGGTCAATTCTACTATCAAGCTAACATCGTTAAGGCTTTTTTAATGGAAAGAGAGTATTTGTATATTAGTTTCAAAAGTAAGAGAGACCCGTGTTATTTTTGAAACTATAAAAGAAGTCTTTATAATTAAGGTAAACTCTAGGAGAGGTCAATGTAATTTAGGCTAAGTTTGGGAAGACTAAATAAATGCACTTTTTGACTTTTTTTTGTATTATGTGTAGAAAAAATAGAGATGGGATTTTAATTGATGTAACCTAAAAAAGATAAAAAGATGAAATAAGTGCACTTTTTTAGGTTAGCCAAACTTGGCCTTAAAGTCTTGTTGGGCATAACCTATTTTAGCCAATCTTTTTATCTTTTTTGAGTTACTTCAATTAATATCGCATCTTTATTTTTTTACACATTTCTTTATAAAAATTTAAAAAATATAATTATTTAGAATATTTCAAATCATTCCTAAATATTTTTATTATAAAACATAGGGTTGGTTCAGGATGGGTTGGCCATTTGAGGAGGAGTTGACAGACACGAACATCAAGCTAAGCAGCTAGCTGGACGCATATCACGGCTCTCTCTCTCTCTCTCCTATAATTGAATTCATGTGATGATATATTTTCTGCACCCACACCACCATTGTTGTTGAAGTCCTCCTTTTCCATTCCTTTTCCCCCTTCCCCTACTCCTCCTTCCCAAAACCAAAATACAGAAGGCAACAAAACCAATAACACATGTCTCCTCCGCGTTTATCTGGTGGTGGTGGTGGACGGCGACTCAAATTGTTGACCATCTTCATTGTCTTCTACTTTGTCATTGTTCAGATCTGCCCGGCGTCGGTAGCTGCCGCTGATGACAATGACAATAATGACAATGACATGGACGATATTGTGAATAATAATATTAAGGCTCTTCAGTTTGAGAACCCAAGTCTCCGTCAGGCCTACGTTGCCCTCCAAACATGGAAATCCGCCATCTTCTCCGACCCATTCAATTTCACCGCCAACTGGAACGGTCCCAACGTCTGCTCTTATTTGGGAGTGTTCTGTGCTCCTTCTCCCTCCGATCCTTCTCGAAGGGTTGTCGCCGGCATCGACCTCAACCACGCTGACATCGCCGGCTACCTCCCAACGGAGCTTGGTCTCCTCACCGATCTCTCCCTCTTCCACCTCAACTCCAACCGCTTTTGCGGCGCCGTCCCTGAAACCTTCAAGCGCATGAAGCTCCTCCATGAGCTCGACCTCAGCAACAACCGCTTCGTCGGCAGTTTCCCTCAAGTTGTTTTGTCATTGCAGTCCCTCAAGTACTTGGACCTCCGCTTTAACGAGTTCGAGGGTCCCCTTCCTTCTAAGCTCTTTGACAAGGACCTCGACGCTATATTCCTCAACGACAACAGGTTCCGCTCCGGCATCCCTCAAAACCTCGGCGATTCTCCCGTGTCCGTGTTTGTTTTTGCCAACAATGATCTGGGAGGATGCATCCCAGGCAGCATTGGGAAGATGGCTAAAACAATCAACGAGATCATCCTCATTAATGATAATCTCACGGGCTGTCTTCCTCCTGAAATCGGCTTCCTCGACAAGCTCACTGTGTTTGATGTTAGCTTCAACCACCTCCAGGGTTCACTGCCTTCAACCGTCGGACGCATGAGGAGCTTGGAGCAGCTGGATGTGGCCCACAATACTCTTACTGGCGTCATCCCTGCGAGTGTATGCCAGCTTCCAAGGCTTCACAACTTCACCTACTCCTTCAACTACTTCACTGGGGAGGCGCCCTCCTGTTCTGCTGTCTCTTCCGGAGGGAAGGTGGTTTTCGACGACCGTGAGAACTGCATTCCAGGAAAGATGGATCAAAGGTCTTCCAAGGAGTGCTCTTCTGAAGCTGCCCGCCCTGTTGATTGCAGCAAGTTTAAATGTGGTGGGGGCGGAAGCAGCAGGAGCAGCAGCAGCAGCCGCAACCGCAGCAGGAACAGGAGTCGTCGTGGTAAGGCTCCACTTCCCCCACCGCCATCGCCAGTTGCATCTCGTTCACCCAGGCCAAAAGTCCGTCCTTCGCGGCCTCCACCCTCTTCGGGGTCTTCACCTTCTTTCAGATCACACCCTCCACCCCCGCCATCATCCGAGGTCAATCCTTCACCGCCTCCTCCCCTGCCAATGCACTCCTTCCCACCTCCACCTACTGAAAGAGTTTCACCAAAGACTAATCTTCCTCCGCCTCCTCCCCCACCTACAGAGCCTAAACCTTCAACACCCACACCCAAGGCCTATCATGCACCGCCTCCACCCCCACCTACTGAAAAAGTTTCACCCAAGACTAATATTCCTCCCCCACCGCCTCATTACACGCCCTCACACCATAAACATTCACCTCCTTCACCGCCATCACCACCACCACCACCACCTGTTTGGGTCTCCCCGCCACCTCCGGTTGACTTCGTTCCCTCCGTACCCAAAACATCTCCTCCGCCGCCCATTGGCAACTCACCGCCTCCTTATGAACACCACAAAACACCGCCACCACCACCGCCCGTTTACTATGTACCCTCGCAGCCTAAAACTTCACCACCGCCACCTATTCAGAACTCACAGCCGTCCCCACAGCAGCCAATTAAGCCGCCATCACCACTGTCCTCGCTTCCTCCACCTCCGCCTCCTTATGTAATGGCTCCTCCACCAACAGAAACTTCACCTCCCGTGCCAGTGAAGCCCACTCCTCCACCTGAATCTGGCTGTGGTCTGCCAGGATCACCACCACCACCAAGTTATGACCATTCACAATCGTCCCCGCCTCCTCCTACACAGCATCACCATTACCCATCACCGCCACCGCCGCTATTGTATAACACTCCACTTCCTCCCATTGGAGGAGTCTCCTATGCATCTCCTCCTCCCCCTGTTATTCCTTACTATTGATCTCTCTACACGTTGGCACCAATTTTTTAGTCCCCTTCTCCACTTTTCAACTTTCCTTTCCGATGCCACCGAAAGGAGTGAGATTACAAGAATATGAAATATGTTATTCCTATCTATGCTCTGCATTGGGGACTTGATAAGAAATAGACGAATTGCCCCCCATGAGATTTCATATTGTGTGTTTTCTGATATGCCTTAATGCATATTTTCAAGGCCTCTGCTTTCCTTCTTTGCTAATAATATATGTAATGTAGCTAATTATTTCACTCTTGTTTTCTTAGTTTTGTATAATTCCTTCATTCATATATGATATGGCCATGTGTTGATTGGCTGTTACCAAGTATTACTTGTTAAGCTAAGTGTTGTGTATAATTTCAATTCACATATATTTTATTTTTTCGTTTTATTGTATTGTATTGTATTGGACAAATTTTATTTTACTCCATTATAGTTTGAGTATTGTCCAATTACTGTCTTAATGTTTGGAAATCATTTTATACTTTTCACGTTATTTATAAATTGAAATGCATCGTTAAATTCATTAATAATTTAATAAAAAAAATTAAAATATCTCTATATTAAAGTAACTTGTGTCATAATTTATTTAGAAGGAAAGCCTCGTTTGGTAATAAGGCTAAGGCTAAGTTTGGTAATTCTGAAAAAAATTAGAAAGTTATTTAAAAAATTATCACTATTTACTAAAAAAAAAAGTATTAAAAAAATAATAAAAAATAATTTCTTACACATTATACAACTCAGTAATCATGAAAAGTCAAAAGGGTTGTGCAACGTTTGTCCCAAGTATTAGACAGTTTGGGATAATTTTTCACAATGCTATTTGGTCCGTAGGGCCTATCACGGATTTCGTTTTGATAATTTAAACCATCAATGTGTATAAATCGTCGAGTACTGTATGTCTGTAAAAAATGACATTGATTGAATATCGATAATTACATGATCAAATCAGTTTTGTATGAAAAAATGGACGGTGTTATAATTAACGATTGAAAAAAAACAAACCTGATTAGATAGCTATCGATATCCGATTAACGCGATTTTTTATAACATATAGTACTCGACAAGTTCTACACATTCAATGATTCAGATTATCAAAATAGGACCTGTGATGGCCCCCACGGGCCGAACAAAACAATCCACTACAATGCCCGAAAAGTACCCAATAATTTCTTACCAAGAATTCGGCCGCCAGATTGTACAACTGTCATTCACTTATCTCCAATCTTCTCTTACACACTTCTTTATATATTTCTTAATATACATTTTTTCATAAAAAATGAAAAAATTAGCTTAAATATCAATATTTTTTCCTTAACTTTTTAGTTCAAAAAAAGAAAAAGTGCACTTATTTAGGACACTCTAAACAAAGTTTTTTTAGTAATTTTTTAATTTTTTTAGTTAAAATATGATGTAAAAAATTAGTATATTTAGAATGATTTTTTAATTTTTTAATAAAAAATGTGTAAAAAGTAGAGAGAAAATGAAAATTTTGATTTTTAATTTAAGTTAATAATTTTTTTAGTGATTTTTTAATTTTTAAACTAAAAAATAATATTATTAAACGAGACCGTAAAATGTATTTTAATTCCTTATATTTTATTCTATATATGATTAATGTCATTAAAATTTAAAAATAAAGGATTGTTTGAAGTGTCTTAAATAAGTATATTTTTTATCTTTTTAAACTAAAAAGTTGAAAAAAAAATATGGATATTTGTGTTAACTTTTAGAGTTTTTATGAAAAAATATGTATTAAAAAATTATATAAATAAGTGTGTAGGAGAAAATAGTGCAGTACACTGTACGGATTGGCAAGTCAATTGGCTGGGCGAATACATAGAAAAAAATTACCTAATTTTCGGGCTTTGATTGAATTGTATTGTTCGGCCCATGGAGGCCCACCATGGCTCCTGTTTTTTTAATCGAAACCGTTGAATGTGTAGAACTCGTCGAGTACTATATGCTTGTAAAAAATCACGTTGATTGGATATCGATAGCTATCTAATCGTGTTAGTTTTTTTGTCAACTGTTAACAATAACACCATCTAATTTTTATACAAAATTGATTTGATCATGTAGTTAGTGATATCCAATAGATGTGATTTTTTACAAGTGTATAGTACTAGACGAGTTCTACATCTTGAACGGTTCGGATTATCAAAACGAGACCCATGATAGGCTCTCACAGGCCCAACTTTATCATCCAATTTAGTGAATGTACCCACGTAATTTTTTTTTTCTTTCCCTAAAAGGTTAATTTATATTTAATATTTATATATTAATGTTTTTTATTATTTTTTTTATAAATAATATACTTTTTAATTCTTTTAATAACTTATTGACTTTAATTAACTGTGTTTTTTTTAAACACTTGCCCAATTCAGCTCTACAAGAATAATAATGATGTGACAATATCAACATCGGGCTAAAGTTAATCTTATTTCCTCTTTTACAGATGGTTCCAGAGTAGAAGTAGGGTTTTTTTTCTTCTGTTCTCTCCTCATTTTCCTTCGAATGGCTACCTCCCTCCAAATGAAGAAGCTTTTGTTTCAGAACAGACATATATACCAGGACGCTTTTAAAGAGTTCTAATATGAGCTTTAATATTGTGAGAAGGTAAAATTTAAAAAAAAAAAACACATAAATACATATGGCAACATCACATTACTGGTAGAATTCTCCTATTTAGAGCTTCTTTAAAACTTTTTGTTTTAGAATTCTCAAATATTTTTATTTTAAAAAATGTCATACATGTAATTCGATTTATATCACCGCCATCTGATATTGAATGATTAGAATATACAATATCATATATAATAATATATATATATTATATATATTCATTTTTTTTAATAATTATTTCTTACTTTATTCTGTTGAGATAAAGGTCATGAAATAAAGGTGTGTTAACATATATATATTTTAACTAAAGCCTTTCGCCTCCGTTTGGCAAGAAAAAAGCCTAGGCTTTTTTTTGGCTAAAATAGCCTTCACAAACAATCCAAAATACGGCTCTTTTTACACAAAAAAACAATATTAACCATCTAAGGCACTCCTCATTACAATTAAGCCTTCTCTCACAAAAAAAAGTCACAAAAGTCAAAAGCCGGGACCCCCAAAAAGATGCCGCCTTCCAAAAACCCCAATTCAGGGCTAAATAGCGCAAAGCAAAAAAGCCAACCAAAGCCTAAAAAGGCAACCACTTCCAAAACGGAGGCGAGAGTAGGTTTGGCTTTTTGGACTTTTTAGCTTTTTTGTTTATTTTAATTTGGGCTAAGACCATACTCTCACGGTGACACAAAAATTGATCACTCAGATTTAAATTTTGATGAAAAATTATACTTTTCCATGCCCAACCGTTGCATCAACAATGAAATATAAAATGAGAAACAGCAAAAAAAGTAATCAAACTGAGAACAAGTTCCGGATTTTAAAATCACTGTTACTGACCGTATTGAAAGAGACTCATCGGTTGCCCGGCGGTTACCAACCGGTCCAACCGGTTCCACTTTGAAATAACTAGGTTCAAACCGGTCAAAAAAGGTTCAAACAGGTAAAAAAAAAAAAAAAAAAAATTGCCCAAACCGGTCGACCGGTTGGTCAACCGGCCGGTCGACCACCCGGTCGACCACCTCCCTAATTTTGCTTTGATGCTCACCGTTGGAGCGCCTCGTATCAAATTGAAAAAATCGTCATTTTTTTCATCAGATTTGATGAAAAAAGAAGTTAAGCGTTGGAGATGCTCTAAAAAGTTTGGTTTGGAAAGAGCTTTTTGACTTTTGGCTTTTTTGGCTTTTTTTGTGAGAGAAGAATGTAATGATTATAGGTTGGATGTGATATTTTATTTTTTGTGGTTAAAATAGCTTATTTTGTCTTTTGTGGCTAAAATAGCCAAAAAAGCCCCGTTTAGCTCTTGCCAAACGGAGCCTAAGGGAAATAATATATAAATTTACTTTTTATAGGTTTATTTTTTAAATTTAATTATATGTAAATGAAAAGATTAATAGATAATTATAGAAGATATGAGAGATATTTATCTTAAAGATTTTAATATATTATTATATTATTAGATTTAAAAAGTAAATTTAATTTTTGAGTTTGAATAATTTTAAACTTTAACCAAAAAGTTAAAAAATTATTACAAAAAAAATAATTTTTTCCTCTATTTTTTATATGCTTTTTTATGAAGGGAAAGGCTTCTCTCCAATTAGGTTTCTCAATTAGAGTGTGTTGTCAGGCCTTTGTAGGTCCACTATGAGACCCATATCGATGATCCCAACTGCTTAATATGTAAGGTTTATCGAATGCTTCATTACTGTAAAAAATTAAGTTCATCGGATATCAATAGTCATTTAATCAGATCACATTTATGGCAATAATTTATTTTTAAAATCATACTTATCATTGATACAAATGTGACTTTGTTATAACTTCCAACTTTTTCTTTTTTATTTTAAAAATTTTTAATTTATTTTTTAAAATTTTTATCCAAATTTATGAACCAAATACAGCTTATGGAGATTCAGAAAAAGGGAAACAGAAGGTGGGGGACGTTGAGAAAGGGTAGGTGTGGGGTGGAAGCTCTATTTCTAGTGACCCAATGAAGAGTGGTGGTGGAGGTTTAGATCCTTTGTAAGGGTGTAATTTTGGCCTGGCCCGGCCCATGTCAGGCCTTGCGGGTTCTTGCCAAAAAATTGGGCCGGGCTACAGGCAAAAAAGCTAGGCCCAGGCCCAAGCCCAGGGGTATTCGGGCTATAGGCGGGCCAGTGGGCCAGGCCTGGGCTCGGGATTTGGGCGGGCTTAGGAGGGCCTAAACAAATTTTTTTATTTTTTTAAATTTTTTCTACCAAAATTTTATTATTTTCTTTTAAAAATAACATTGGGCCTCGGGTGGACCGGGCCTCAGGCCGGACTTTTGGGAAGGCCTTGAGCGGATCAAGCGGGTCGGGTTTCAAAACGAAGGCCCAGGCCCAGGCCCAAGGCCTCAGGCTGGGCTTGGGCTCGGGCCTAAACTGGCCGGGCCCACCTCAAGCTTCGGGCGGGTTTCCAGCCACGGGTCAAAATTACACCCCTAATCCTCTGTAGCAATGCAATCTATAGTGTTTTTATTGATAGCCTGCCACGTCAAGAGTAAAAGGATTGGAAGGTTGAGATTGTCTCTTATTAAACGACTTTTGGATTTTTTATTTTTTATTTCGTTTAGACACTTTTGCTTTTTTTTCTCTTACGGTTTGTTTATTTGGGAGAAAAATACTTTCCGAAAAAAATATTTTTCTATGTTTGGTGGTGGCATTGGTGAAACAAAGGGAAAAGTGGAGGTCATGGCATGTTAGTGGGGGTGACAAAGGCAGTGATGGTGACAGAGGCGGTGGCTGTTGTGATGGTGGT